TATATATATAGAATTGTATGTATCTATTACAAAATTCACAGTGCTAGAGAGACAAATTAAAGTCTTAGTAATGCACAAAAATTTAACACACAAATAAAAAAAAATATGAGATAAGATACCTGATTTTTATACACAAAAAGCCCCCCTAAAAAGAAAAAATAACACAAGACTTGGCACTGTTAAAATAACTTACTATGTAATTGTGAGAATAGAAGTCAACTCTTTACTTAGTTTAGGGAATAAGAGATTACAAGATGAAAAAATAATAACTCATTTGAAATAACTCAACATTTATAATCTCTAAGTAAAATTTAGATTGTAACTTCAGCACTCTATCTATGATAGTCGTGATGGGGCTATAATATCCAAGTTGGCTATAGAAGTTATAATTTAATTTAGAAGCCGTAATTGATGACTATAGTTACTGTAGTAGAGCTACCAAAGTTATATTTCTTCTTCGTCCACTTTATTCATCTTTAGTACTGCTTCTCGATTCATTATCTTCTTCTTCCACGCTTTTTCTTCTCCATACTTTTCATCTGCACTTTCTTTTCCATATCTCTTCTTTTCCCATCTTTTTCTTCTACTGATCAACATACTTCATCTCTTTCTTCTTTATCTTCTTCTTTTTTCTTCTTTTCCTCTTCACACAGTGCACTTTCCATTAATTCTCTATATAGTTATTTTTATTTGATGTTTATCTCCAACATTTTTCTCATATAACTTTAAAATAATCTCTATTTAGGCACTTTCATTCACATAATGTTCACTTTCATAATGTTTTCCGATGCAAATTTAACTTACTATACATGGAAATCATCTATGTGGTTTACCTCCCTTACATGTAATTTGCTCCATGTAAATTGTTGTATGTGTTTTCTCTATTTGTACCTTCATGAACTTTATTTTATATTCTACATGCAATATTCACTTGCAAGTAAAACCTTATCCATATGTATTTCTTGTGTCTCTATGTATGTGATTTAAAGTAACTTCATGTATTCTCTTGATGTATGTCAAAGTTAAACAACCTATATGTTTTCTTCTTAGGTCTAAGAATGTGCAAGTGAAGCCTTATCTATATGTGTTTTGTATGTCTATATGAATGAGAAATAAAATTGACTTCTTGTATTCTCTCTATGTATGTGAAATTTAAGTAAACTACATGTGTTCTTCTTATGTCTAAGAATATGAAAGTGAAATCCTATTCATGTGTTTCCCTTATGTTTTTAAGCATGTGAAAATGAAGTGACCTATGCATTTGGTTTTCCTTATGTCTTTAAGCATTTGAAAGTAACTGTCTTTCATGCATTTCAGTTATGTCCTTAAGCATGTGCAAGTAAAGTTTTATTTAAGTGTTCTTCTTTTGACTTTAAACATATGCAAGTGAAGTTCCATTCAAGTGTTTCCCTAATGTCCTCAAGCATGTAAAAATGAAGTCATTTTATTCTCTTTATTTCCAAGCATGTGGAATTGAAATGAACTTCTTTCTATTTTTTGGAGTATGCGGAAGTGAAGCTGAATTCATGCATTCTCCTTATATCTATGCATGTGAAATTGAAAAGACCTTCAAGTTATGGAGGAGGCATCAAACGAACCTTTAGAACTTAAAGCAAGGGCCGAGTCAACACGGACGTGGATGGCAGCGTCGAATGGAAGTGTGCCACGTAGAAAGTTCGGAGCTGCCAAGGATTGTGTGGCCGCCGCACGGATAAGTAGAAAAATATGGCATTTTTATTTAAAATAATTTAGAAACTTTAAAAATGCATAACTTGGTGTATAAAAATTATAAAAATAAAATAAAAATACTATTGTGCTTAGTGAACAAAAGAGAATATTATGAACCAAGAATTAAAATTATTTGTCAGGTATTTTATTTTTAATTATATAAATACTCCAGAGCTTATTTTAATCATAAATAATTAAATGTTAATCATCATGATATGAAATTTGGAGGGTTTGATCTTCATGTGATTAGGAGTGTCCTCTGATTTTCACAAAGTCAAGGGACACCCCTAAGATTAAAAGCCCTGATTTTACATCTTAGGTGCTTTTGTTCCAATTAAATAATTGTAAAAATTAAAATGTAAATCTAAAAAATATGGGACTTGCTTTGGTAGGTTTACTGTGGTTAGAGAACCTTAGGAAAAATATAAAATGGGTTTAAATAATTAAGTGTATTGTCTTATGTAATTAAATAATTAAAACCATTAGAAAATTAAGAAAATAAAATATAACCCAAAAATTCATAAACATTAGTCCACATTAAAGATAATGAATAGATAAAAGTCACTGTAAAAATTTGAAACTCGTTTGAATTGTCTTTAATATCAAAGTCTATTTTGCAAGATAAAAGAGATTTTTGCACTAAAATAATTATAATAAATAAAATATAATTCAGAAGAACATAAAAAGTGGTTTGGAATAATCCTTATGGCCAATAGCACTTAAGAAAAATAAAATTGATGTTAAAATAAAATTTTCATTTTTGAGTTATTTTTCAATTTAAAAATAATTAAAAATCGCAAAAATACAAAAATGCATCAAAATGTCACAAATTATTCTCTGATCACTTGGGACCACTTAAATATTTTTCTTAATTTTCCTAATATAGTTATGTATTTTTAAATGCCAAAAATGTATTTTCTTTAATTTTGCATTAAAATAATTAGAATAAATAAAATAAAAACCACAAAAATATAAAGTTTATTTTTCTGAGTTCTCTGAACTCAAAGGGACTAAAGAAAAATATTAAAATAATTTTTAAGATTATATTATGTTTTATATTTAACTAACCATCAAAATAAAAAAATAATTATAATAATTAGAATATATTTTAAAAATTCATGAAGTTTAGTCAAAGTGGTCTTCTGACCTAGGTCAACCTCCAATAATTTTCCTAAGGACAGAAACTTCACTTTTATTAATTAAATGAATTAACATTGAAAATCCCTATTTTTGAGTAAAAATAATTGATAAAAATTAAATAAAAATTAGAAAATTATAATTTCTTTGATGATATTTTAATTGACACATGAGTGAAGCACTAAGAAAATGTAAAAGTCATTTGAGTTAAATTTAAGGAATTATGAAGTGGAGAGCCCTAGGGGAAATATGGTAATTATGGGATTTTGATGCCCTAATTAAAATTTAGGCTAAGTGAAACGATAAATGGGTAATATTGATCATAATGATCTCTCTTAGGTGTTTGAAACATAAGTGTTTAAAAGGTAGAAACCAACTCATCAGTTTTTTCTGTAACAATGGTAAAATTATAATTTTCCTAAATTATTGTCACTTGGAAGTTGGTCTAATTCGATGATCCTAAGGTAGTGGGCTTGAGCTAAAAAGATGAAAATTTACTCATTTGAAGCCCCTAATCGGTGATTAGATGATAAGTACGATTTTTTAATAAGCATTAAATCCATCTAACCAAACATTTTGATTATTGCAATTTTATCCTGAAAACTTGAGGGCTTAGTAGTAAATTATGCCTAATCTGAATTTGCTTAATGAAGTTTAGAAAAGGAAACATAACTAATCATGAATACCTTCAAAGCACTACAAGCCCAAATTTAATCATAAGCACAAGATCCTTAATAATTTAGCTTGCCCCTAAGGGCATCCACTTACATAATTCATAAATAGAACATCAAGTGAATACCTAAGTAACGCGCTCATGGGATAATTAAATCATCAAGATTCATTGAACACAAGTTAGAATATCACTACTAAATATGAATTTAACTTTGAATGATTGATTTAACAACATAATAAATTCAAATGAACTCGAAATGATTTTGAAGACATTAAAAGTTGTTTAGGGTAAACTACTCCCCACGACGTGTCAAAAAAAAAAAAAACTATAAAAGTTGCCAGGTATGAACCACTATTTAAATGATATTGAACTTGCACCATCAATTACATACATTAGATGGACACCCTTTTATAAGTTAAATTAGAGAGGGGACTGATCGGCGACGATACCACGAGTCACTTCGCCACTTTAGATCAACCCTATTGGGGGAGAACCTACTCACACCGAAGATAAATTGGTTTTAGACCAAAAGATGGAAAAAAAACCCAAGAAATGTGACCCGATAAGTGCACATAGAATGACAGGAGAAATACGGTACATTGGATGACAACCCATCAAAGATAATATTAAATATACATCATGGTTAGAATACGACAAAGGGTAACAACTTGAGATCACTAGAGATTTAAATATAATCATTATTCATGCATTATATAGAAAAAATCTCATATATGTGAAGGGCAGAATTAATGCAAGAAGGATGGATCATGTTTTTAGCCATTTTTGAAAGAGTTCATCACATTCCCTCTTCAATCCCTTCTCCTCCCTTCTCTATTTCTTCCTTAGCTCCTCCCTTGATGTGTGAATCAATTGACATTTTAGGATCCAACTCTTTCC